CATAAAGTGACTGCCCCCTAAGATTCCCATCTAATCTTTTGAATTGCTGTTCGTCAGTTTGATCCGATATAGACAGATCTTAAAAGAGGATAATGTTCAAGGCAGACACTCTTCGCTAGTTAAGCTAAACTATTGTTTGGATTTAAGATTTCAGGGATTTTTTTGGTTTAAGCTTTAAAGATCACCTCACTGCAATAATTTCAGGGGTATGTCCAGCCTCCACAGCTCCAAAAAATCCAGATTCCATGATAATTTGAAATTATGTTCTGCATTTCCCCCTTTTGACCAGGATTCTTCTATAGAATCTTTGACCAAAATGTTCAGTAATGGTAGCCGGGCACCATCCAGTTCTTCTGGTCTCATGGCAAAGGAGGCAGTTGTTCGTGGAGGCAATTATCCACACATTCCATTTCCTCCTCCTATTCCTGACTCTCCTTCTTCCTCTGTTGCTCCTATTTTTTTAATGTGTCATTGATGAAGTTTTTGAGTGCTGTGTTCCTATCTCCGTGTTTCCCATAATTTCCAACACTTTTATTGAGTAGTTTTGCATAGGTGGTGATTGTTAGGAACATATATGTCACCATATAGCAGAACTGACTGTACTTTTAAGGATCACAGATTAAAAAATGTGTGATTCCATAGGAGGCTGGGGTGAGGATAGGGTTTTCTAATGGACATCATGGGATGAGGCATAAGAACCCAAGAAATCAGGCCACACTGTTAGTAAATGTATTCAGTCTTATGTTGCTTTTTCAGTATTGTTTCCCTTTTGAACCACTTAGCATTTAGTAGCCATGTTTACCTTCTCCAGCCTTCCATCTGCTATTGTATAGAAGGTGTGGTATCTGTGATCCAGCTACAGCGACATCTCCCTGAGTAAGTGTACTGGGGGCAATGGCTCTCAGTGTGAGCACACACAAATGAAGGCTGATCTCCAGGAAGAAAAGCCAGGGCTTTGATGTCTACACTCATCCCACCACAGACTCTCCTTCCATTGCCATTTTTGGATGATTAAGGCTTGATTTTATCTAGACAGATGATGGGTCCAATTACAAGTTTGACTGAACTTCATCCCAATAATGCCTTCCAGTGCTAAGATGTTTTTTTTTTTTAAAAAAAAGTATCTTAAACTTACCATCTGCTGGTTTCTTACTTGCGTTACAACATGCTTGTCTCTCCAGTCAAATCTTACTGGCAAGGATATGTTGGAGATTGACATTTGTATGTCTGCAGGGTATCTGGGAAATCTGGAAGGTTTGCTTCTCAAATAAATTGCTGAACAGAAATATGAAATGAAAATATAACCAATATTACATCATACAGAGAGACCCTGGGATTGTTTTTCTAGGAACTTTTCAAAAGAAACTCGTCATTCTAGATTTTTCTTTGTGTTTTACCATTTTAGGTAATACA